ACGTTTGCTTCCCTTGGGTCAGAAACTGGCACTGTCCCAGGAGTGGCCAGTGTGAGTCAGCTCAGTTCCTTAGAAGAGGGGATTTCAAGCAGAGATTTCAGCTCTAACCCTCTCGTCCAACACTTAAAATAGCTTCCTTGTTTTCAGAAGCCTTTTTGTGATTCATTTGTAGAGCAGAAGGAATCCGCATCATTCTTAAAATAATCTTTGCAGAGATTCAGACAGGTGGTCAGTCTTTATAGTCGTGACTTTCTTCTGCAACATAAAGGTTTGTCGTCTTTTGTTCTCTTTACTTGTGTTTTTTACAAGTGTCTGTGTAACCCGAGAGTGTCCAAAGGGTGTCCTGGAGTACCGGCTGAGGAGAAATAATGACCAAAGATTTTCAGTTCACCCCATCAGATAATCTCCAGAACCTTTAGCCTTTCCTAAGGCTAGCCCGAGGGCTTTCCACTGGTTCTGGGAGAGACCTTCATTAACCTCACTTCTAAAGCCGGTAGATTTATTGCTTATAGCTTACAAACTTTATTAAAAAGGTACAGCTAAGCACCACCCACTTTGATGGTAAAACATTTAGGCTGAAGCCTTAAGATAAAAACATTTAAAATCCAAGGGCAAAGAATACCAACATGCTTTTTAGGACCCCTTTCTACTGGGAATGCTAAATTTTAATTGTGTTGTAGTCTTTTGTTGCATCAATGTGTTTCATGAAACCCACATTCTATTATTGCGCATTTAAATTGTTCCCAAGTTTTATCTAAGCAACACTTGGGTGAGCTTTCTTTTACTTTGCTTCTGTTTATTTATTCTTTTGGAATAAATTCTGAACAATAAATTTCTGATTAAAACCATGCATACAAAAGCATTTTCCCTTTCCCCCCTCCCTCCTTTCCTCTTTTCTTCAGGGAGCGTGTGTGAGGGTGTCAGGTGGAGGACAGGGGACAATTTTCAGGAGTTGCTCCATCAGGAGTTGCTCAGAATTCGTTGACAGCCTTGGAGGCAAGCCTCTTTCCCCACTGAGACACCATGCCCCCAATTCTTTTTTTCTTTTCTACGCTTAAGATTACATGTCCTGCTGTTTGCTGGAAGGCAAATCTAATGAAAATTTATAAGAAAAACTCAACCTCATGTTCCTGATCTTCTCTCTCTTAAGAGGTGACTGATGTTCGCTATTTCCTGCGGCGATTTCTTGGGTTCTTTCTGAGTATTATGTACATGGGACCAAGCCCCACCCCCTACTCTCACACAACTGTGTAATTTGCTTTTATTGCAAGCACTCATTCTTCTTAGCATCACTGTCGTTTGGGATGGGGCCACAACAACGAAACCTGTTCAATGAAGAGCTGCAGAAGGCAGCCATGATTCGATCAACCATCCTCCAACTGATGGATGCTACTGTGGCCTTACATGGTTTTGCTGTTACGGGTATTGTGGCAATTAACGTTTGGAAATCTTTTGATAGGTTCTCCAGCAGCTACCATTTGTGCCTTCTCGCCAGCACCGAGGCTGCTTCCCTTTAGCTATACCATCACCCACCCTTACTTTTGATCCCACGCCAATCTAAAAGGCAGTGAGTGGTGTCTTGTTGTTTAAATTTGCATTTCTTTGATTACTAATGAGGTTGAACTTTTTCATATGTTCGCTGGTCGACTCGCATTCCTTCTTTTGTGGAATGCCTGCTTGAGTCTTTTATGTAATTTTCCATGAAAGCATTGCAAATAACTCTCTTTGGCCTTTGCTCTCTTTGTGACTTTTCTTTATGAATCTTTGGGACTTTTAAAGTGATTAAATACTTATTAAGGCAGTTAGCTTGATCTCTGTCTAACTGTCTTGGTATACTTGATGCATTTCAAACTTAAGGTTATATAAATTTCTAATGTAGAAATATTGCTGTAAGTTATTGGCTAGGGCTCCATCTCTTCAAGTGATTGGGAAGTTCTCAACCACCTATCACTCATTTCCGCTTAGTTTAGATCCCTGACATGCATGGCCACATTAGTGACTTTTCAAATGCACGGACATATTTCTCTGGCCCACTTGTGTCTCTTTCTAGAATGGAAATGATTGCCATTCTGCAAATGACACCTGCCAGGGCAGGCAGTTGTCTTCCGTGGAGAAGCCTTTTCTCACTAATGAAGTATGCCCTCCCAAGAGAACTTGCAAATCATTTGAGTTGGTTCCTTGCTCATCCAAACGTAAAAAATTTCTACCGAGATTTTGGCTAAAGTTGTATGATAAATATTCTTGAAGGGAGATAGTAGACCTGCAAGATACATAATCTTGGAACTTGACCTATCTCCAGCTACTCAGTTTGTCTTTCAATCAATTTTGAATGACTTCCCTCCTTCCTTCAATTCTGGCACCAATTGTTGCTAACTTACGCAGAGGTACAATATGCTATTTTGTATGCCATTTCTTTTTCCTCTTATGTGTTTTTGGATATAGACATATTTGTCTGCATTTTTCATTATGTCTAGTGATTTAGTCAATTCTTTGGAATCTAATAAGTACATCGTGCTCTAGCCTATAATGCAGTTCGAGTTCTCCCTCTCCCTCCTTCGCCAATTTTGTCTTTGTGGTTATTTCCTAAGCCAGAAAGTCCAGATAATCAGAAGTAGCACAGGTGGTGATAGGCATTCCTTGTGCTTCTGTGCTTTAAAAATACCTAGTTTTAATTTCCCAAACACTAAATGCAGATGCATATAGCCTACAGAAACGAAAGTTAGGCAAGGTCCTTTGATCTTTGACGTTTGCAAATCCATCCCGAGCACGGCAGTTTGAGAAGTCTCTGTTTGAGGAAAGTCCTCCCAGATGGGGGAGTGTTTGGTGGGCCTCTGTAGAAAAGTGAATGTGTGAAGGACTTCTCTCTCACAGGCTCACTCTATTGGTCAGTTTGGGTGGCTGTCGTAATATGGCTGTCTTACTTTCTATGACATACAATGTCTGGGTGCTCAGAGAAAAGGCATTGAAACTGATACAGTGAGTGCGTTGATTAAGTCACTGAAAGATTGGAGCACTAGATTGCAGCCAGACCAGAAACCTGAGCCTTTTAAGAGTGACAGATTGGAAAAATGGACTTTTCGTTTGCCTGATCCTTCTGCTGCCTAATTATGGAGAAAAGGGATTTTCTTATCTTTTTTTTTTCTTTTGGTCCCAGGAGCTTGCATATGCTCACTGGCAGCCAAGCTATATTTTATTTGGTGTTTAGGAGATGAGGCCACCATCCTTGATGATGATGAAGCTTAGAAAGAAGTCTTGGCAATTAAACCTGCAGAACACATACACCTGTCTTCATTGGAGAGTTTCTTCCCAGGTTGCAGGAAGCCCTGACACCACTGAGAGAACCTTTCTCTGCCCTTTGCTGCTTCAGCAGCCCTGCCCTTCCTATGTGTTAGCTATCCTCACGTTTCCTCTTATACTGGATCGTACACACACACTCGCATACGTGCGTCTTTGTATATGCTATTATGTGGGGTTGGCTGTTGGAGACACTGGATGCGTTAATGTGCCCATGAATGCCCTCACATGTCTAAGTTACTGGGAACAGTGTGGCTCCTCCAAGCCTTACTTTTCAGCCTTGCTAGGAGAACCCCAGCAGCCTGCAGCCAAACATTGATGGGAAACTCTTCTAAATGGATATCTGTGCTCTGCCACTTTGCCTAGTAGGGACACCTGTGTGATCTCTGAGCCTTATGCACTTAGTCTCTCTAGTGGCTAGCTAGCTCTTCCTCATCTGGCCTTTTGCACAGTGCCAGGCAGGCAGTTCCTGGCTTAGGCCAGAGCTCCGCGCTGCTGTAGTCCTCTACAACGTTCTCAGATGCAGGGAGGTCCCTGTGATCTGTGATCAGCTTGGCCCTTCTGAAGCACTAATTCCTGTTTAAGCAAGGCTGTGACCATAAGCCCCACTACTGCCCTCCCACCTGTCCTGTGGCCGGAAATCCTGTCAGACACTGTGACTTATGGTGTCCACTCTAAGGGGGACATCCTTATGTGCACTCTAATTGTTTCAAGTGGAAGGCCAGTCTCTGCTATTCTTTACAGTCCGACATAGTTAAGTCTCAAAGTATAAATCCATTCTCCCAAGCGCTCATTTACCTCAGTTATTTTCTGATCCATGGTCAGAGACAAACATAGAAATTTTTAAGATGTGCACTTTTAATTTTTTTAAAAAGTATTTTATTTTGCATGTATAAATGTTTTGCCTACATATCTATGTATAGAAACCGCATGTATGCCTGATGCCCATAACAGCCTGAACACGGTGAGGGAGCTCCTGGAACTGGAGCTGAGGTCTTGTGACTTCTCTACAAGAGCATCAGAGTCTGTTAAGTTCTGAGACACATGTCCAACCCGATATGTTTTTTACTTTTAAATAAAAATTAAAGCTAACATACATAGTCTTATGTCTATATATGTGTGTGTATATACAAGGAAATATAAGTATATACATAACTACATATATATATATATATATATATATTATACTTTCTTCTCATTCATGGCTCCCCCGTATCTTTCTTCATATCCCTCTACCATCTTCTTGCTGTCTCCTGTGTCCCCCTAAACCGTTTTCTGCTTTCATGTCATATGCACATTTAAAGGTCGTTCCTTTGCTTTAACGAGTCATCATAGACTCGTGTGCACGAGCAAAGTCTGTGTTTTTCACTATTAGTATTAGGAATCACTGTCATGGCGCTAATTTCTTACTAAAAGATTGCTTTGTCTATGGTTATTTGTACATTTGTTTATGCACTGGACGTTTTTAAGATTCTGAAGGTCATAAGCCTTGTGTGACAGAGACTCTACCATGCATGTCAGGTTTTCATTTTGAGGAAACTGATTTTTCATTTCTCTAATTTTCAACTCATGCAGAGACTGAGGTTGAAAAAGAATGCAAAACCGTAAAATTCCAAGTGATTAAAATTCTGTGGGTTCCAGACATTCTTCGTCCACTTGAAATAGGGAAGCAATGGTTTTGACTGAGAGTGTTAATCTCTCCTTAGGTGGTTCCAAGTGTCACCTGCCAGGCAAAGAAGAGTCCATAGAACTGGAAGGCATATTTTCCGTGAAGCTGAAGCGGCGCTGTTCTGTGAAGCAGCAGGGCCAAGGCACGCTGCTGGGGATCACCCTCTTCATCTGCACGAAGGAGCAGCCCAACAAGCTAAAGGATTCTACACTTAATCTTATCAACTTGAGTGAAGACCACTGTGACATGTGGTTCAGAGAGTTCAAGAAAATTCTGGAAGGTAAGTACCCATCACTGGAATTTTTACTGAGCATGACCTTTATTGATATAGGTTAAGTCCCATCTCATGTCAGGGGCTAGAGAGGTGACTTTGGTGGCTCACAACCATCTGTAACTCCTTTTCCATGTGATCTGAGGCCCTCTTCTGAACTTCGTGAGCATCAGAAACACACACGATACAGACATACATGCAGGCCAAACACCCATAAAACATAAAATAAGAATTTAAAATCACAAGTTATTTTTCTAGGCAAAGGGAAACGTTTGATTGCCATGGGGGCGCCTTTCTGTCTCTAGTCTGTTGTTTTCATCATGAGGGAATCATGGATCTTGCCAATGGTTTTTATAATGTCAGCTAAGAAAAATCATAATTTTCTCTATATTTTGTTGATATGATTGACATAGTACAGAGATTGATAATTGTGTGTTTAACTATCCTTGCATTCCAGAGTAAATCTTACTTGATCATGGCATAGAATTCTTTTAAATATACTATTGAATTAATTTGGTAGAACTATTAAAAAAATTCTTGCACAAGTATCCATAAAAGGTATTACCTTTAGATTTTAATAATATAATTGTATGATTTTTGGCAGCTGAATAATCCTGATCTTATAAAGTGAATTCTAAATTAACATCCGAAGAGCCCCACTTATGGAGTTTTGGTAATTTGAAGTAAGACAGATACTTATTTAATTTATGTGTATGGGTGCTTTGTCTACATGTGTACCTGTGCACCATGTGTATGGAGAGGTCTTGGAGCCTCTGGAACTGCAGTTACAGAGAGTGGTGGGTTGTCTGTGGGTGCTGGGAACCAAACCCTGGTTATCTTGACCACTGAGTCATCCATCCCGTTCCCTAAAAAAATTTGTAAATAATTTATTTTAGTTGTGTTTTAAAAAGTTATTATTTTTATATGTGTATGCATTATGTTTTGTGAATGTAGATGTATCTGCCATAGAATGTATGTGGAGGCCAGGCGACAAGAACTCTGTGGAGTTAACTCTCTTTTCCTAATTTCCTGTGGGTACTGATATTGAGCCTAGTGGTCAGGTTTCCCGGGCACGCACCTTTTCCTGCTGACATTTTTTTATATTGGGGATGCTAAAAGTCTTAAATATCATGCACTTCAAATGTATAGAATTTATCTAATTAAAAGGTCTCATTTGGAGATTAGAGATTATTTTCTCATTGATCCATTTAAAGTAGTGTATCAGATTTAGCAGTGCCGAAGCAGCTGGGGTGGTTGGTACAGTGTGGGGTTGGATGACAGTGCTGGATAGCAGACAGAAAGCAGGTCATGGTGACATCAGGAGCTACCAGCCTCAACAGCGCTGAGCCAGAATATCACAGGGGTCCCACTGGCCATGGTGTATAGCTGCTGAAAATCTGCTCATGACTGATGAGCTAAGGAACTGTTGAGCCTGGGAGAGTCTGCTTCCTCATCAGTTCCTTTGGGGGCTCTAGAGGACCAGCCTTTCAAAAGGACGGGAGCATACATAGGCCAGTGTTCGGCTCGTCTCTCTACAAACAGACAAAAACTGTGTTTGTAATTAGAAAAAAAATCCATTGTAATAAGTTATTTTTTTTCAAAGCCGTATTTAGGTTTCAATTAAATTTATTAACATGAGTAGGTATTCAGGAGGCTTGGACAGTCAATAAATTAAGAATGCATCATTTGCCTAGGAAAGTGAACCTCTTCCTTGTGCTGAAGGTCTGAGAAATCTCACAGAGGGCTTATGAAGAACTGGCTGGGGCAGATTCGATATATCTTACCCATAAAGTCAACAGCAAGCCAGCAGAGGAGATCTGAGCAAACCTCAATTTGGTAAAAAGCAATGTTATAGGAGTAGAGAGACTAGTCGCAACCCAAACAAAATACCTCTGAAAACACTGTCCAAATATTTAGTTTAATGAACGATGTTTTGTCTTGATCTAGGGTTAAAAATCTAGCGAAATTACAGAGATGAATAAACTTCACATCTTTGCCAAGCGTCCTCTGGGGATCTCACTTTGAACTCTTGATTTGGATCAGAGTAGGAAACAGTGAGATAATATCGGCTCCTTCCTTCTCTCTGGCTGGCTCCTGAAGGGCAAAATTATTTTGCTCATTGAAAGCAAATAGATTGACTTCTAAACACCAACCAATGCAGACAATAAAAGTTGAAAGCCTCTGATGACAGAGAAAGAACCTAAAGGAGATGGCAGTGTCCTCTCTGTCTCTTCATCTAGGGTCCCGGAGTGTCCTGTAGGGTCGGCTTCCCGTCCCATGGGAGGCAGTCTGGGTCGTCCCCAGCGGCACAGGCCATGTCTGAGGCTGCAAAGCTCTCCGCCTGTTATGTCATTCCGGACCTCCCCTTTCCTGCTTAGAGTCTAATGGTTTCACACCCTTCTTAATATCTATATAATTCAAGAATTTATTAAACTGTTTGTCATCTGAAAATGAAATACAGGTAGTTCCACTCTTCTGCGAGTGGCAGGAACTCTGTCTCCTTTCAGGCAGAGGACTAAGGTTTGCTGCCCAACTCCTCCTGATCTTTCCTTGGACTTAGGTCTCTTTGCCTTATATCCAACCTTCCTGCTTCTTGACACAGTGCTTCAGTTTTGGCAGAGAGTGATTGCTCATTGCTTATACCCCTGCCCAGTATTCCCCACCTAAAGAGGGCTTTGTGTGTGTGTGGGTGTGTGTGTAGAAAATTTGAGAGGTGACAGAGATTTTGCATATCAAAAATGTATATAACTTTCAGGTAAATATTAGACAGCCATATTTTAATTCCAAGGACAAAGTCCTTGCTTCTAACTGGGTCTGCTTGCAAAAACAAGTCATTCTTAAAAATGGCATTGAATTCAAAATTATTTTGAATTTTGTCTTGATTGAACAAGTAGAATTTTTCTTTTATTGCCAGGAGGACTTACACGTCCTTCGTTCTATTCTCCTAAGGAGAAAAACATGGAGACATTCAAGCCTCAAGTGGGTGGTCCTCTAGTCCTAATTAATCTAACAATTACAGTTTTATATAGTTCTGACACTGTTATTTCTAAATATGAACAATTATGCTTGGAATCTGAGCAAGGAATAAGATGTGATAATTTTTAAGGGAAAATTGGCAGCAGTAGCTGGAGGAAGAAAGCAATATCAAATACTTGAGATTTGAAAACTAATTAACGTTTACTAAATAATTACAGGTTTATAAATATAAAAGAGCACTTTTATCTAAACGTCAATTAATTTCACTCCTGACCCTATTTTCTGAGTATAGTTGAGGACAGAATCGTTTAACTTTGTTTTATTTGTGTTTTTGAGACAAGTTGTGGATAGCTCACGCTAACCTTGAACTCAGGTTCTTTGCTTTGGAGCCTCCCATTACAGGTGTGGGCCCAGGTTCTTTTTCAACTTTGATCATAGAAAAGTTTTCATAATTTTACATCTAGCAAGCAATATAGTTCATCCACACAACACAAATTATTCAGCAGACTCTGTGCTGTGTGTTGCGAACAGAAAATTCAAAAACAAAAATGGAAGAATGTGGAGTTGGAGAGATGTCTCCATTGTGAAGAGTGTGTACTGCTTTTGAAGAGAACCTGAGTTCACTTCCCGGCACCCACACCAGCAGGCTCACAACTGCCTAGAACGACCAACTTTCAGGGGTCCGACACAGCTTGCCTCTGCTGACATCTGCGTTCAAGTGCACACACGGACCCTGCACCACCCGCAAATAAAAATCCACAGCTATGCAAAGTAAAAATAATGAGGAAAATTAAAAATGGAGATGAACTCCCCAAATTTTTCTTGCCCTGGAGATTGATAAGAGAATGTTGTTTTAAAGGTGGATCAAGCAATTAACAAATGGGACCTCCTGAAACTGAAAAGCAAAGGACATGGTCAACAAGACAAAACGGCAGCCTACAGAATGGGAAAAGATCTTCACCAACCCCACATCAGACAGAGGGTTGATCTCCAAAAATATATAAAGAACTCAAGAAATTGGTCATCAAAAGAACAAACAATTCAATAACAAAATGGGGTACAGACCTAAACAGAAAACTCTCAGCAGATGAATCTAAAATGGCTCAAAGACACTTAAGAATATGCTCAACATCCTTAGCCATCAGAAATACAAATCAAAACAACTCAGAGATACCATCTTACACCTGTAAGAATGGCCAAGTTCAAAAACACTGATATGACAGCTTATGCTGGAGAGGATGTAGGGTAAAGGGAAAACTAAGTTGTTGGTGGTGGGAGTGCAAACTGGTACAGCTGCTTTGAATATCAGAATGGTCATCAAGACCCAGTAATACCACTTTTTGGTATATACCCAAAGGATGCTCAATCATACGAAGATATGTGCTCCACTATGTTCGTAAAAGCATTGTTTGTCATAGCCAGAACCTAGAAACAACCTAAATGCCATTTGACTGAAGAATGGATAAGGAAAATATGGTGCATTTATACAACAGAAAAACATAAAAAACAAAAAAACATTTTGAAATTTGCAGGAAAATGGATGGATCTAGAAAACACCATATTGAGTAAAGTAACCCAGACCCAAAAAGACAAATATAATATGTATTCACTCATAAGTGGCTTTTAGACATAAAACAAAGAAGAACCAGCCTACAATTCATTATCTCAGAGAACCTAGACAACAATGAGGACCCTAAGAGAGACATACATGGATCTAATCTACTTGAGAAGCAGAAAAAGGGCAAGATCTCCTGAGTAAATTTGGGAGCACAGGAACCATGGGGAAAGGGTTGAAGGGAGGGGAGCAGAGAAAAATGTAGAGCTCAATAAAATCAATTTAAAAAAAAAAACTAGATTAAATGTGCAATGAAGACAACAAACAAACTCAGGCAAACCATAGTCATTGATACAGGAATTAAAGTTTATTTTTTTTAAAGCAATTGTCTGTAGACAAAGACTGCTCTTTGTTCCTAGTCACCCAGACCTGAATCATCACACAGAAACTATATTAATTACAACACTGCTTGGCCTAA